CCGCCCCTGACCCTGATTCAGTCCGCGCTCCGCCTCCACCTCTGGAGAGCCCCGCCCCATACTCCACCCCCAACCCCCTACCAGATGGGGCGGAGGAACCGGACCCTTGAGCTAGGGGAGAACTTCTGGCGACTGAGGCTGAGGAATTCTGCGACCCGCCCAGCGCCTAGAGGCTGACTTCAGCCTTAGGCCACCCTCCAACCCGCCCACGACTCTGGGGGCGGCGCGCCCGAGGGGGAGGCTGGGATCTGTTCCTGCAGGGGGTTTGACCTTGAAAGTGGCGTGGCCCAACTCGCATTTATCCAGAGGCCGGTGAAGACCGCCTGGTGGCTGGGCACCCAGACTCCTCCGGGCTGACCTCTGGGCTGTGGGCTAGGAAGGTGCAGGGCTGGGTCCTGGGTGTCAGCAAGGGTCCCCCCACCCCGCCCAGAGGCCCCTCTGAAGCCTCAGGCCCCTCCTTCCACCTCTGCACCTTCCCTTTGCCAGCTGGCGGGGTAGGGCTGGGGAACCTCTCACCTACTTTGTTAACTAGACTTCTTGCCCCTGATAAACTACCTTCTGGGGCCGGCTCCGTGGTCCAGGGGTTAGGGCAGCCCAGTCAGTGCCCCACAGCTCAAGCCTGGCACATGTGTACTACCCCAAATCCCAATGGGACAGAAAAAGGGAGAAGGGATTGCATGCCCTGTGGGGGTGCTCTCTGGAGAGCCCACAGCCCTCTAGCAAAACAAATGTACAAAAAGCAGCTCCATTTTGAAAAACATGCGTAGGATGGGCCATTTCTGGACAAACTTCCTTTTACAAACTGTTAAGTCTCCAAGTAATACATGCATGTAGTTAAAAAATGCAAGGCCAGACAGTGAGGCGGTGGTTAAGGCAGCCAGATCCCACACACGTAGCCGACCGCCAGTTCGAGTCCCTGAACCTTTGGCTTCTGCAACATGTCGGGCACCTGTGTGTGCATGCCCAGGTCCCAAAAGGAGGCTAGAGGAGGGTCTGCCATGTGGTCACCCCCAGAGAGTGCATTTTCATTTCCTCTCCCTCCCTCTTTCCTCCAGCAAGCACACATGTCCTGTAGCAAATTTTGAAAAACCAAAAATCGGGACCAGCAGAGGGCATAGTGGTTATATCGTTGCACTCCCACGTAGTCGACAGCCAGCCGGGACCAGCTCGGCAAGAACACACTTCTCTGAGTGGGAAGGCTGCGGATTAGAAATAGACGCAGTAACAAACACACACAGACGCGCGGGTATAGAAAAGCGAGGGTTCAGTGGGCGCAGCTTCTCTGATGGACAAGTTGCCACCAGAACCAGCCTCAGGTTTATTCTTTTATAGGGCAGAGAATGGGGGAAGGGGGAAATGGGACGCAAAAGGAATGGGGAAGAAGGAAGTGGAATGCAGAGAGAATGGGGAGGAATGCAAAGCCAGTTGTTTGGGATGTAAATCGTCTGAAGATGTGAAAATGACTGGGCCATATCATTCCTCTGATCTTTTCAGGGAGACAATTTAATAAACACATGTGGCTTCCTGAGTACTGAGTATTAACAACAACAAAAAGACAACCATTAACAATAAAAGAGTACTACTTCTGTATATAAATACTTCTCAATAACCCTACGAAAGTAACTTACCAGAGCACGTATTTATGTGTCTACAGGACACATGTTTTAATCACGTTTTCAAATTAACTGCTCTCCACAGTCGACCATGGTTGGAGTCCCGTACCAGCGGCTTAAAACTCACACCAGGTGCATGTGTGCATGCCCAAGACCTCGAGGAGAGTGGAGGAGAAGGGTTTACAGGTGGCCACCCCTTTGGGGGCTGACTTCTGCTTCCTGTCTCTCTGTCTCTGTCTCTCTGGCAAGCACTCACGCCCTATAGCAAAAACTCTAAAAAAAAAAAAAAAAAGACCCGGGACCAGCAGTTGGCATAATGGCTATGTGCTGGACTCCCACGTAGTCGACCGAGGTTCACATCCTGGACCCGGTGGCTTGAGACTCACACCGGGCGCATGTGCGTGTGTGCCCAAGATCCCGAAAGGAGAATGGAGGAGAAGGGATTGAGCGTGGCCATCCCCCCTGGGGGGTGATTTCTCGCTTTCTATCTCTCTGTCCGTCTCTGTCTGTCAGCGCACCCGCCCTATAGCACCCTCCAAAAAAAAAAAAAGGCCCAAGTGAAAAGTAATACTTCCCCAGGTCTGCCCCAGGTCAGCCATGTTAAAGCACTCACCCCTCCTTTTTTTTTTTTTTTTTTTTTTTTTTTTTTTGTTTGAGGTTTTTGCCATAGGGCGAATGCACTCGTCAGACAGACAGAGAGAGACAGAGAGACAGAAAGCTAGAAATCACCCCCCAGGGGGATGGCCACGCTGCAATCCCTTCTCCTCCATTCTCCTCTCAGGATCTTGGGCACGCACACACACGCACCCGGCGTGAGTTTAAGCCACCGGGTCCGTGACGCGAACCATGGTCGAATACATGGGAATCCAGTGACATAGCCATTACGCTAACTGCTGGTCCCAAAGCACTCACCCCTCCTTAAAAGCAGGTTCTGCACACAAAGCCCCACCCCACACCTGCACCCCTACTGAGGTAATGGAGCAGACCCGACTCCATCTTGAAAGAGCACCTCCATTAAGAATTCTTGAGTACAGGGGGACCAGCAGGTGGCGTAATGGTTGAGGCGCTGGACACTCACACATGGCTGACCACGGTTCAAGCTCCAGACCTGGCGGCTTTCTTTTTCACTTTCTGTGTGTGTGTGTTTGTCTCTCTCTGGTCAAAATAAAATAAATAAATAAATAACTGAGTAAATAAAAATAAAAACCAAAACCTTGATCTACCTACCCTTTTTTTTTTTTTTTTTTTGAGAGAGAGATTTTTTGGATTTAGGGTGCATATGCTCGCCGGAGAGACAGATAGAGACAGAGAGATAGAAAGCGAGAAATCACCCCCCAGGGTGGATTGTCACGCCTCAATTCTCCTCCCTTCTCCTCTCGGGATCTTGGG